TTTCTTTATAGGCGGATTCAAACGGGAAAGTAAAAATAATCTCCGCCCAACTTATTTCAAAGGATTTACTGTATTCAATATAAAATAATAATTATCTTTATACATCTTGTTTTATGAACGTCATCTGCCATTGTTTAATTATCTTACGGCAAAATTATAACACTCCTCGTGATTAAAGACAAAGAAGAAGAAAAAAACGGTGTTAAACTGCCAATAAACACTGGTTAGGGACTACTTGTTTATGCGGCTGTTATGTTTTCTCCCTCGGTTATATAGTTTACAAACCCTTTTAAAGCAACAATAAAAACGAAACATTTCTATTGTTTTTATCAATATTTGAAATGTTAGAAAATGTACCCATTGTAGATCAATCTACTTTAAAGTAGTAAATGTGCTTAAGTCACTTAAATAAAAACATATTTCACCCAGTTGTCTTTCAATTCATATATTTGTATTCTTAGGTATGGAACGCCGTGACTGTCTTATGTGATCAATGTTTTTGGTATCTTGTGAAACGATGATATTATTTTGTCGTTTGAGCATGTTAACATGTGCTATTCACATCATGCCTTGTCAAAGGATCATGCTTACTTGTGCAAATAACATATTAACTTGTCAAAATATATAATGACCTGTGCAAATGACTTGTTGACTTGTCAAAGTATCTTGATGACTTGTGGAAATAAAATATTAACTTGTCAAAATATATGACTTGTGCAAATGACATGTTAACTTGTCAAAATATAATGGTGACTTATGCAAACGACTTGTTAATTTGTCAAAGTATTGTGATGACATGTGCAAAATACATGTTAACTTGTCAAAATTTCATGTTGACATGTACAAACGCCAAGTTTACATGTCGAATTATCATGATGACATGTGCACAAGCATGTTAACTTGTCAAAGTATCCTGATGACTGGTGCAAATAATTTGTTAATTTGTCACAGTTTCATGATGACTTGTGCAAACACCATGTTAACTTGTCAAATTATCATGATGACTTGTGCAGACAACATGTGAACTTGTCATAGAATTATGATGACTTGTGAAAACGACATTTTATCTTGTATCATGCTGACATGTCAAAATGCACTGTTGACTTGTCAAAGTATTATGATAAATTGTGCAAACACCATGCTAACATGTCAAATTATCATGATGACATGTGCAGACAGCATGTTAACTTGTCAAAGTATCATGATGACTTGTGAAAATAGCATGTTAACTTGTCAAAATTCCATGATGACTTGTGCAGACAACATGTTAACTTGTCAAAGTATCGTGATGACTTGAACGAAACACATGTTAACTTTTTGAAAGTATCGTGAGCATGTCATCACGATAATTTAACAAGTTAACATGCTGTTAGCACATGTCATCATGAAATTTTGACAAGTTAACATGTCGTTTGCGCAAGTCATCATGATACTTTGACAAGTTAACATGTTGTTTGCACAAGTCATCATGGTACCTTGACAAGTTAACATGTCTGTACATGTCATCATGATTATTTGACAAGTAAACATGCTGTTTGAACAAGTCAGCATGGTATTTTGACAATATATGTATATATATGATGTAAATTGCACATGTTAACATACTTAAACGACAAAATAGTATCATCTTTTCACAAGATAGCAAAAACATTGATCACATAAGACAGTCATGGCGTTCCATAGTATGGAGGCGTGGAATAGTAATTTAAACACTCTATTAAAATGGCTGTTTTGCATACTTTGACAGGTTGTCATGTTTAGTGTATTGTCATTCCCCGTTAGATATACGACCAATTAGATTCTATTCAGCTGATACAAATAAAAAAATATCTTGATAACAAATAGATATAAAGGCAATATGATCATATATCGCCTTTGAAAGTGTTGTTAATATCTATATTTTAATAACACAGTACCAAGGCAGAAGAACAGTCAACATGGGCTTACAAATCTTTGCTTTTGTGATTTTCTGTGTTGGTTTAAGTTTGGGAGAAAATACTCACTTCTGTGAAAATTCACAGAGCCTTAGTGAGGTTAGAATTCCAGCTTATACGTTGACACAGGAGGATTTTGATAATAATGTAAGTTCATTTTGTTCTATTTAGAAAATACTTCATTCGACAAAAGCAACTGCGAAACTTAAAACATATCAAAATTCTTTAACTAAAGTGTTTTAACACTTTGAAAAATATATTCAGGTTGTAATTCAAAATTTACTCTAAAGCACACAAAAATAATAAGTGGAAGCAATTTAAAACACTGTTAATACATAATGCACATCAGTTTGGTTTTAAACGTTTAAGGCATGTATAAGAAAATGTGTTTACTTTTTTAACACATTTCAATAAAATGTAATTATTGTAAGTGCTATGTATTTGTCAATTGTTTAACCAAAATAATATTAATATTTTGGTTAATAAGATTAAACTTTAAATTTAGCCTTGTATTTTCTTAATTTAATTTCTGTAAACTTAAAACTTGCAGTTTTCCTTTTTAAGACCATTTACGAAACTTGAATTACTCAAGAAAAATTATAATAGGCATGGTTTGTATTTATAAGAAAGCAAGCACAATTCAATAAGAACTGATATTTATATTTAAGTTTAATATTGCATATTTTGTCAAATTTTATTTAAATTTGTGAAATTTTGATCACGGAGAAAGTTGTAATCAAAGTTTTTAAGCTTTCATCTCAGTTCGTAAAATTTGTTTTAATGTTATTTATTATGCAAATAAGAAGTTTAAATACAATATTGTTTAAACTAAGATGAGATAATGATACGGAATGAATTAAATGTTCATACTTTTATATTGTCTGCCTTTATGACACAAACTCAACAAAGTTCTTGTTGGTTCATCTTACCATCCAATCTTTTACGTGAAAATAAATAAATAAATAAATAAATAAATAAATAAATAAATTAAAAAAACATGTGCTTGTCGGTTCATCTTACCATCTAATCTTTAACGTGAAAATAAATAAATAAAATAAAAAATAAGTGCTTGTCGGTTCATCTTACCATCTAATCTTTAACGTGAAAATAAATAGAATAAATAAATAAATAATAAAAAAAAAAATAAGTGCTTGTCGGTTCATCTTACCATCTAATCTTTAACGTGAAAATAAATAAATAAATAAATAAAGAATATAAACCAAAAAAACAAAAAACAAACTTGGAATCTTAAATTAGTTGTAAATATCAGGACAACACTTTGTATCATATCTGACATTTATTTGTTCTAATGTTTTTTTTTATTTAGGTCGTAGGTGCAACTCTAAAACAAGCCTATATTTTGCTTCCCGACCCAGCACCATTTACAGTTAGTTCAAATTACAACTGTATGATAACAAAGATCGATGCTACAACCTACCAACGAGTTTGCACTGGACTGTAAGTTTAGCCTATACAACATTATCGTAATATAAATCCGTTTCATGTATTTTGTATTACAAACAGACATTAATCTAGCCAAACGTTTAAATATTAATATCGTCGTGAATTATGTACGAGTAAGATATAAAAACATCTAAGTAATAAACTAACAAGTTTAGATACACTTTTTGATTATATCTAAATTTTGAAAATAATCCAAAACAATTTAGCTTGAAATGTTATATGACGCAAATAATGTTGGAGCAACTTACAATATGTTCATGAAAATATGCTTATGATGTTATTTTTAAATTCATTATTATATTAATATGTAATGGCTTTTTAGCGAACCTGCATGCACTGAATATATCTTAACTCTCACCATGGAAACACAGGGAAACATGATCTCTTTCCCGTACACAGATCCAAATAGTAAGTTACTAGATGTTATAAAACATCTATGAACTGAAGAACTTTTGTTAAGTGTTGATATAATTAGTTGTATAGTAAATTTACTTTTTATCCTGGCGATTCTATTGATAAACATTATTTTAACTTTCAATTAAATACGATCGTATGTTGAATTTTCCTGAAATGATTCTTTGTTGAAGAAAATTTAATGTAAAATAAAATAAAAAATACATTGCGGAAAATTTACATCTAAGAACATTGTATAATTGATTGTGATTATTATGCACGATGATAACATTAATTTGAGACTATGAAAAAGAATGTCATCATTGACTTGCAGAGTTCTTTCTATGAAACAGAACATTGATGTACAATTTCCATTGTTTTTTAACAGATAATGTTGTTAATGAGTACTACTGGTCCCCTTGTCCAAGTAAATTCATTCTGAGGATGCAATGTTCAAGTGACAGTATTCAAGTGAACCAGAAATGTGCACTATCGGGCGCCCGAATAAGTATGTTATTTCGTTTCTTGCATGACATTTTATGATATGTAGAAATATTTTATATACTATCATTCATCCCATTCACAATGTATTATGTATTATTTTGAATATCATGTTTTTAATTATTCTTCGTCGCTTATTTACATTGTTACTTCATCTTTGACTGTTGTTATAAAATCATGGTTATTTTGATAACATTAAAGCCGTGTTTCTGGTGGGAGATGTCAATCTAAATAATGCTCCATGGACTGATATTTCCCACAAAATCTTCACTGCAACCGGGGTCAAGTTTGGCGAGATAGATGGCATGAATTGGTTTTTTACAGAAAATACCGGAAGTGAGTGCACATTACATTTATAACATCAAAATCAGTTAACAAAATAAAATGTTTTATTGTTTTGCTCCGGAAGTTTTGTAACCTTGAAATATTTCAAGAAGTTTGCTTCTAACAATTTTATATACATGTTATTCATTGTCATATAATCAGCAAAAGAGACAACATAAAATACATCTAATTGCTTCAATTAGCGCATTTAATACATATTATAAGCTATGATATAATGTTTTCCATTATTGTTTGTAGTGTACAAAGTATACAGATGCATTAATTTTAATTATTTCAGCTCCGTGTGTCCCTTGAAGTTGACGGAAATTGGTGAAAACGGAACGTGATTAACATCAAACAATATTGAATGAATTGATCTATGAACATCAATAAATAAAAGCAGCATTTAAAATGGCTTCTTTCTAGCTTTTTTTTGTTTATTTGCCTTGCTTCTTGTCCGAAGAAAAAATGGGATATAACTATAGGCTCTGTCCCTCTGGCTGTCTTTCCATAACACTTCGTGTCCGGTCCAATCATCACAGAAATATGATATAATTTGGCACATATGTTAACCACACTATAACGTGTCATGCATAACACCAAAACCCCATACCTCTAAAACCAAGGTCACAATCGTAGAACAAACAAGATTGTCTGATGGAGGTTCAAGGTGTCACTTTGAGGTCTCTAACAGGGTCTGTTCAAAACATTTCCATTTGTATTAAGAACAGGTGTCATTTGCAACATTTTGACTCCTACCGTCAGGAGCCGGCCTAGTGAATTTTCGTATTTTTTGTTCTATAGTAAATCAGTCACATTTGAGGCATAATTCCCAATTCCACTGTTCCTGATGAATTATATACTGTATTCGACTTTAAACATCAACACTATCTAAGTCAAATGAGGCCCAATATATAACATGTTAGCATTCTACTGTTTTCAGAAATCTTCATTCTGTTGTAACACTGTTTAAATTCACCACATTGAAAACTCTTGACTGCTGGTGTGTAGTACATCTTTAATCCTTCCGCCAACAAATGAGTTCCTGGAGAATAGACAAAAACAACTTTTAAAGTCATCCTATAACACACAAAAACTACACACATGCAATAAAAACACTTTAATTATGACAAATCAAACTAGAGAGAACTTAAACTGGGCCACTAAAAAATCAACTACTTTCTAGACCACAACGGGTTGGGTCTATTTCCGTACCGGGGTGAGACCCTAAAGGTCAAAATCACATTAACAGTTGAAAGGTTAACTTGCCTGTAATTTCATTGTGCAGAGACGAATTCCGTGTAAGCATTTTTTAATCGGTAGTTTGCACACATGATTCTGTTATCACCTGAAAACACAAGCTTTAAAACATAAAATAGTTTACACAAACACAATCAGAAAACTTTGCCCATTCATGTAATATATCTCTGTTTTGAAGAAGGCCTAACGGTGATATGATGCACTTTTTTACATAAAATTACTTAAAATAACTTTTTAACAACACATAATTCTTTTACCACGTTTTGAAGTATTGTTTAAATGCACACTTCACAAGCAGATTTTGGTTTGTTTGTGTTTGGATTGTTTTAGTTTGTAATCTATTGTGTATTATATTTCTAATGGTAGTTCTACTGATAACTATTATTACTATGCATATATGCCCCATGTCTGGTATATAAAGACTTTGGAATCAAACACGCTATAACTGAAAGATGTTGTTTCCTGTAATATATGATGACACTTGCCTAATGATAATAGTCACAAACTTTTTTCCGGTGAGACAAAAAGTAATAGAACTAATAAATGAATTAATCCGATGTTTAAGATTAATATACATGTAATAATTTATTATATCATATTATAGCGTACAGGAAGGTTCATAAATATGCTTGACGATTTCAAAAAATAAGGAGTTGTATTAATTTATTACGTATTTATCGGTCATTTGCTTCTTTCACAAATAAAAAATACGTCCAGAGAACCAAGCTGTTAAATAGTAAATATATTGTTACCTAAACAAATATATAACCGTTCCAAAACACAACTCATCCGCCATATAGTTTTAACATTTTTTACTTTGGGCTATTTGTAAAGTTTGAATAAAGTCAAAATGATTAACTATTTTGTTTGGAAGAAAAAGCACTTTTTTACATTTTATAGCAATTCATTTCACATTCAAGGCTGATGTCCTCACATACCGCTTCTTCACAAATAAAACATGTTTGCGTATTTCAAAATACTAAAAGGAAAAGTACCAATGCATGTACATGTTCTTATCTCTATATATGACTAATGAATTTGTAGTAGCGTAACAAATAGACAACATATTTGTTACCGTGAAAACATTTTCGGCTGCATTGTTCCATATTTGAATATATAAAGACAGCTTTACATGGTGATATAAATAGCGTTTCCATGTAGACTACAATATAAGCGTCATTTTGGTTTGAAACGGAGCCTGCTCTATTGACTCGGGGCTTATTTCTTTTATGACCAATTGATTTCAAGGGTTTTGTATATTGTTAAGGAAAATTTGAAACATATCAAATACATTTGTATATTGATTTTATACAATTTTATATTGCATTTTTCTTAAAAAGATATGTCTATTTTACGTGAAGTTTTTGATAACGAGAAAAAGGAATATAAGAATATTTTTTCAGATATTCTTTTGAACAAATAATAAACTTGAAAAAAATACATTCAATCAAATGGACGCATCGTCAAAATCATTCATTTTTGATATCTATGCGGGTGCCGTGATAATATAAAGATCTGAACATGTTTGTTATCAAAACAGACATGCAGAGGACAATGAACAGATAGAACAGCACCGAATCTATAAGTAAGTACAGAAACATCAACAATGACATGATGCTAGTAAATGATTCAAAACATTAATGGACAGAGATTTCTGGAAACCAAAAAAGTCGCGACCATTTTAAAACACATAGGCATAACTAACATACCTTCTCTAGAGGCCCGTGATAAATGGATACTTGCCATATACCTAAGCTCTATCATTGTAGTTTTAGAAGCAACTTTTTAAATGAAATGGGAAGAAAAACAGCAATACATTTAAAACCGTACAGCACAGCATAGCACAGTGCAGTATTTAATGCGTCACATTAAAAATTAACCACAATATAAACAAAACCACAACATAAACAAAGTTTTTTAAACACCACTATACGGTCAAAGTAAAATTTATAGAGATGAGACCAAGAAATAATTGATAAAGATGAAAGAGCTTGTTTGTGGGTTTTTTTTATTGACATTTAATTTATGTCTCCGTTTTTTTAGGAAAAAAAATAAATATACATGGATACATACCGAGGTGATGAGGCATCATACCTTCTTTTGTCATCAACTAACGTTTTTTTATTGCGGTTAAAAACAGTTTTGACCAAGTTTTGAATGAGCTGAATTTGTAGGTATCAGTATGATGTTCACTAGAGCAACAAATTGATTTCCTTTGGCTTGCGAATTTTATGTGATAACTGATATATCATCAAATAAAAGAAAGAAATTTGTCTCAGGGAGATTCGTCTAGGGACATAATTTGTAGGTCTTCTTTATTAGATGGTGATAACGTTTCGTTACTGTTGAAAGATAAAAGCTCAAGTACATCTGTTACTTTTAATGGTATAAACAAAAATGTGACTGTATACAGAATGAGATAGAAAACAAAAGTTAAATATTTTCAATATAAAAAATATAGCCGTTATTAAATGAATAGATGTGGCTGTGAAATTAATCTTTACCATGCTGAATATCTTCAATGTACTTTCAATCTTTCAATTTTGACATAACCATTTATCTTTTTCAGGGGAAATTCCTAAATATGTACTGACTGAATAGGAGGAGCGCAGACCATGATCAGACGCCACGAAAGTGTCGGTTAATCTTGGTTTGCACTGGACGCCTGTATTTTTTCTCCAAAAAGCAATTTTAATTGATTATAATGAACAGTAATAAGTTTATCTTATATATTATATATATTATCACTAAAAATATATATACACTACTGTGTTCAAAGGGGGGGGGGTAAAAAAGAATATGCCACACCAGTAACAAACACAATGTCAAACGTTTATTAATTTATCAATTTTCATGTTAAAAACTGATATTGTTAATGTTATTGCAATGTTCATATGGCATTAGATGTGTGTCATTAATGCATACGCACAAACTCATAAATGATGCTAGGACGATGTTGAGTTTTATTATCATTTTGCTAATAATTCGTAAAGCATTCGTGTATAAAACATTAGCATCAAGACGAAATCACCATGACTGCACCATTAGCTGCTGATATATTGCCGTTTTATGTGACAAGATAAAAGCCCCAAAGTATTAACAACAGCTCCTGTCTAAACAAAGTCTCTATAGCATTAATAAGAGGGATGATAAAAAAGTTCGCTGAAAAATGTTCTAACTTTATTACTTTTAATAACTTCATTACTATTAATAAATTATTACTATTAACAAATGTATTGATATAAAAAAAATTATTACTATTAACAACTTTATTACAATTAACAACTTTTATACGATTAATAACTTTATTACTTTAGATTATCATCTTGTTAAGTTTGGCCAATGTCCATCTTGTGGCTTAGAAGGAGATGTTGATAAAAACACTGTTGATAGCAGGCAACGAACGACGGACTCGTTGCAATTACAAATACTGAAATGAGCTCAAATATGCATGATATAAAAATGAATTACCAACGGATCTCTACTGGTGGCAAACTCTATCAATGTACTTTTGTTTCCAGTAGGTTAAAAAAGAGTATATCGCCAAACAAAATCCATTCTTTATCAAAATCAAGTACGGTACTCAAGTCATTTTAGTTAAAACCAACTTATTAAATGAAATGGAAAGAAACAATACCGTTCAGCACAGAATAGCACAGTGCAGTATTAAAGCGGCACTTTTAGAAACAACCTCAATACAAACAGAATTATTATCTTACAGAAAACAGAACTACATTTGTATATGGTCAAAGTAAAATTAATCGATATGATAGCAAGAAATAACTGATATAAGGGGCAGATAAGTTTTTTGCAGATTTTTTTATTGGCATTTCATTTATGTCTCAGTTTTTTAGGAAAGAAATCAAATATTCATGGCTACACACCGAGATGATGAGGTATCTTACCTTCTTTTGTCATCAGCTAACGAACGCTTTTCTATTGCAGTTCAAAACAGTTTTGGATAAGTTTTGAACGAGCGGAATTTGTATGATAGCAACGAAATGATTTCCTTTAGCTTGACAAATAAGAAGATTACTGATATATCATCAATTACGAGATAGAAATTCGTTTCTGGGACATTCGTCTAGGAACATAATTTGTAGGTCTTCTCTATAAGCTTGTGATAAAGTTTCGTTACTGTTGACAAGATAAAAGCTAAACTACATCTGTTACTTCTAGTGATGTAAGAGAAACAATCTGACTATATACAAAATGATATAGAAAACAAAAGTTAAATATTTTCAATATAAAAATAAAGCCATTATTAAATGAATAGCTGCGGCTATGAATTAATCTTAACTACGCTTAATATCTTAAATCTACTTGTTCATTTTTCAATTTTGATAAAACCATTCATTATTTTTGAGGGAAATTTCTAAATATGTACTGACCAATTAGGAACAATACAGATCATGATCAGACTCCATGAAAGTGTCGGCTGAACTTTGCTTGCACTGGATGCATGGGTTATTTTAAAAAGTATTTTTCTAATTGTTTAACGTGAACAGTAATAAGTTTATATTAAAACTTAAAAAAATAAATACTGTGTTCAAGAGGGAAATAAAAAGAACATGCTACACCTATACCAAACCCAATGTCAAACGTTTTATTAATTTATTGATTATCTTGTTAAAAAATTGCTATTTTAATGCTTAAGCAATGATCATATACAAAGCGCGTCTTGCATTAGATATGTGTCATTAATACATATGCACGAGCTCATAAATTATGTCATATCTGTGTTGTGTTTTAATTTGCTAATAACTCGTGAAGCATTCGTGTATGAAACATTAGCATAAAGACAAAATCACCATGGCTGCACTATTAGCTGCTGATATATTAATTTATGTGACAAGATAAAAGCCCCAAAGTATTTACTAAAGGATAAATACGAGGGGTGATAATAAAGTTCGCTGAAAAATGATCGAACTTTATTACTTTTAATGATTTTATTACTATCAACAACTTTATTACTATGCATAACTTTATAACTATTAATTACTTTATTACTATTTATAACTTTATTACTATTAATAACCTTATTACTATTAACAACTTTATTACGATAAATAACCTTATTACTTTATTAATTAATTTACTATAATAATAATAATTAATAATTGACTATTAATAATCATTTTAAGCCATGAGGAACAATTAATTTTCTATTCACATAAATAGATATTATGTATTTCCATACAGCTATCTGCGTTATCTGCGTCGGTTAATCAATTATGGCTCCATAGCAACCTCATTGTCAAGAACCTTGCAAACCCGTTACAATCAACTATATTTAGATTGTTGTTTTACGAATTACGTCACGATTCCCGTGAATATTTTGCATTACACTGATTATGTCATTGGTACATAGGTAAAGTGCTATGTTCGACTATCAAATTCTGTGTCAGTACATTATTATATTATTGAGGGAAATTTTGAAGAAAATGGAATATTCTTATAAATCTGAAACAGGGGTATATTTAAAGAGTTGCACTGGAACAAAAATAATCTTATATGACAAGACATTAATAAATCGGACTAAAATATTTGACACCGAAAAGGCAAATAACGATAAAAAATAAAACATTATTTTGCATTAACAGCAATAGCATGTTTAAGTTCGTTGATGGCTGTTTTCAAATATAGCAGCGCGCCATTATGTTGCTGGAACTCATAAAATGTCATCACTGGCGTCATGTATCATATTGATTTGTTGCATATAGTATTTTTGAATGTCAGGTTTAAAACTCGGTTTAAAATAAGTTATTACAGTGAGTGTAAGATATTTTATTTTTTGATAAACATGTTAGATTAGTACAGAATAAATTCTATAAGAATATGTTAGTTTGTCTTGACATCATTTTGTTTTGAGATGGAGGGTCAATGGTTGTAATTGAGTAAAATAGTGAAAATAAGAATCCTTAAAGAAAGCCCAAAACGGCAAAATTGTAAATACGGCGGTTATCATGGAACCTTCAATGAAAACTAATTAAGAGAAAAACATGATATTGTTTCTTGAAGAAAATGAAATGACTTAGATATTTGCATTTATAAAATGTTTATGTCAGTCCTGCGATCAGCGAAAATTTCAATGAAAAGGGGGTTATCCTTCTTGAATTCATTTTGCAAAAAAATTGGTTGGCAACCCCTATATAACAGGATATTTTTTTATGTGTCAGGCATTTCATTCTGCTAAAAATCACCTCTTTAAAATGAAAACTCAATTTTAAGGTAGGATAAGGGACCATTTCTTATAATGTAAGTCTACAGGAAAATCAATGTGAGTGACCTAAAATTTTCCCGTACTTTAAAACTAATAGTTTAACATTGCCGCACTATAGACCCAAGGTGTGCTTAAGGTAATACAAGTTATGGGCTTTATTTTATGACTTGCTTTCTAATTAACCCTAAATACATGTATAAAGTGAACAGTTTCTAATATCTCATATACCTCCACTGATCAGGGGAAGTAACCGTTACTGATACATTACACTTCTCGCACCAGTTACTTTCCCCTGATCAGTACGAAGTACAAAAAGATACAAACGCATGGTCCAAATTTTATTAAAGATTGAAATATAACACGGCTGTTGTAAATATTGTTCACATGTTCAGTACTAGATGCCTTCACTTTCGCAATTACCTGATAATTTCTGTACAAGCGAGAGCAGAGATACAGTGCGAATGACAGTAGAAAGTAAATGTATGTATGAACACGTATGCATGCTGTCAATTTTAATGAGGGTCCATCCGCCATGTAGGGCACTAAAAGCAGCTTTCGCTTTTGAGTACGGACCCCGACATGTCACCAATCATACCCTTACCGAATTAATTTTGAAGCACACTCCAAATGGAAATGAAAAGTGAATGGAGACCGCTACCAAGACGTACAGCTTCTTATGTTATATAGGTGCTAAAATAACTAATGAATTTTGAACCAACCAATGGGCCCGTTATAAAATTCGTTTTGGGGGAAAATGAAAAGTTCAATATTAACAATTGAATTGTATATTATATCGGAGCACATAATTTCATACAACCAATGTACTGATAGTTTACAGATTTTGTTTCAAAAGTCATGAAATAAATATGTAAACCCTTATTACATGTATTATCTAATTGAGAAGATAAAACAAATATATACTCACAAACTTATAATAAGAGTGAGACATGAAAGTTTAATATTAAATGAGATACATATCTCCGGAAGGGCAGAAATACTATGGGGGTACCTTTGGCTTCAAGAAAATGAAAAAGAAAACAAAAACAAGTTTGTCATGGATTCGGCATTAAAAAAGAGGTTACAAAGACGTTTAAAGAAAACTAATAAAATACTAAAAACATATGAATTAATTAATTAATTTGAATTGATCATGTTTGAAGTTTTACAGCAGAACAGAAATATATTTACCTGGTGTAACTCATAACAAGCTTATCAAAATATTTCATATACATAAACAAAATATGATACATAAATGATACATGACATAAACATATTAAAATAACTAGACAGTAGTTGTGTTTAATTTTATATTTTACTATGACAAAATAATCAATAATCAACATGACCAACTAGAAGTTCTATAAATATCAGAATGTATTGATTTTAAGTTGTTGTTTTTTTAAACAGAGATGGCTAGTCTTTTTTTTATATTGTAACATTATCAGTTTTAATTATCAATTATTGGTCAACCATCATTATAATACTGAAAAATATTACTAAATCAATTTAAGTTGACAGCAAGTAAATGGTAAATGAGCATAATGTCAAATTAATGATACAGGAGTTTACTTGACAAACATTTGAATACATAAATATAATTATATGACAAATATTTGAATATATAAATATAATTATATGAATAATGATCAAAAATTTGCATAGTTATAACTACTGCAGTATGATACTTTAAGCGTTTATCACTTTCCAAATTAACTGAAATTAAGCTGTAGTAAAATGAGTTTTTATTTTGATTATCATTTCGTCAGTTCCAAAATTCTTAAACGAACATGTGACGGTCTTAATGGTGTTTAATGTTCATCAGGAGTACGCATTACATCATCTATATCTAGCACGCGAACTTGTTCAGGAAGATTAATTCTGATTCCAACTGTTCCATCACCAAATCGGTGCATAACTGGTGCTACAAGACAAATATATCCACCTGGTTTAACCTGGGAGTAGCTGAAATACGGAAATGGGTTGTCTCCAAAATCATCTAAATAAAACTCCACCTTACTTTCTTTATCGTGTTCATCCTGAAAAAATAATATAGAAAAAGATTTTTCTTTAACTTTATTTAGAGATCCGTTAAACCTTTTAACTAAATATATCTTTAAGACGTGTAAAGTTATACATTTCTGAGAGTTGTAACAGATATGTACTTACATATTTGTTCTTTTATTTTCTTAAATCATTTTTGAAATTTAAGATAAAGCTCTGTGGTATGTTGCTTATTTTCTTTTAATATACATGAAGCATAAACTGTAAGATGTCCTTTTTAACTATGATTTTATCTTATAAACCTTTGATAATTAGCTATTATATACCTTTAAGTAAACGCCATGTCGCATCACGTGCTCGTGATATCTGTACATAAATGCTACAAGTACATATTTGTCATTCCATGGATCCAGAAGGGTAGAAACAGAGTGATAATATTCATCGGGGACATTATCAAATGTTGTCACAACTTTAAAGTCAGGAAAGTAGGATTTTGTCATTCGGATAGCTTTTTCTAGAGAACCCTCAGGAGGGTTTAATCTAAAAAGTGCCTGCTCTAGAGTCAATGTTTGGCAAAATCGCTCTTTTGGACCTGTGTAAGTCTGAAAACCAAAGAACTGATATGGCGGATGTGGACTTCTTTCCATTTCTGCAATAGCTGCCATAGCGGCATTTTGTTCTTGCGCGTGCTTCCAACATCTGAGAATCCTTTCGTCTTCTTCAGACAAAGCCTGCATAGTAAAAAACGCAATTTTGTTTAATTTGTTTTGTTGATTTAATTAATCGTTAACAACTATATTAAACAGTTCAATTCTTATTCGTTTATAGTACATGTATAAAATATTTGCAGAACAGTTTAAAAAAAATAGACTTCTGCTTAAGCTGGTGCTAGGGGGCGTGGACGGTAGTATGCACTTGACAGTACCGTCCATGAACAGGCTCAATCAAACCGAGCCTGCAACATTTTCAATTTTGCCGTGTTGGGCTTTCTTTAGGGATTCTGTATTTATCTATTGTATTCCATTGACCGTATTTTAAGAAATAACATCAAAGTGTTGATTTAGCTAATGAAAATACTAGATGAAAAATAGAAGGATACTAAATTTCTTACAGATTTAAAAAAAGAAGTATGTACCTTTATACATTTAGTTTTATGTTGGTTCCAGTCTTCTCTCTGACATTTGGTCGAACAATAGAATGTCTCTTTGCATCTCGAACATTTTTTTGAACATCCAGACGATTTGCAAAATCCACATGCATTTCTGATTAATTCTTCTGTAGACGCGTTATTTGGTTGAAGATCATTATTTGTCTTGTTTTCTTTAAACACATCTGAGCTATTTGTAGCCTTTGTATCTAAAACAATCCTGTGACTGTTAAGTTCATCTGATTTTCTTTCAAAATCTCGACAATTCTCCACGTAATCGCGTTTTACATCTGTGATACCGTCAATATGTTCTGTACTAACATCTTGTGTAATCAAGGAACTTTTTTCTTTAACAATATCTAACTGCTCTTCACTTGTTTTAGGCGACGGTCTAAGCTTTTCTAGCATATCTCTAACATTATTACATACAGACATCCCTGTTGCTTCATTGTTGTTTGGTTCTGTACTGGTTCCATGGTCTTTCTGAAAAGTTACATCAAGTTCCTGTTTAATTCCCTCAGAAGCTTCATTTGCTTTAGTGTCGTTTCGCAAACAAACAAGCTTATGACTAGGCCAGTCTAAGGTTTGACATATCTTTGTACAGTAGCCCACCCTTAGACAACGGCTACACCGATTTAAGCATTTCCTATCGCAATACTTGCACTTTAAATTATAAATTGACATCTTTCTCTTAAAATCAGAGGTTACTGCTTCAAATATAATTCAAATCTTTTTCAGAAAACACAGTTATAAACTGAAAAAATCCACTTTAGATCTGAAAGTTTGCCAAGTTTACTTACAAAAAAATCGTATTCAAATAGACCAACATTGCATGTATTGATTGGTCCTAGTTTATCTAATCATCATTTGATAAGTCATTGAATATAAATAAAAAACATTTATTTATATTGGATAAGCTAAGTATGCACTTGCATTGTATTGCTACCATTACATTTGAAAAGTATCGATGAAATATTGACGAGAGGAGACAAAAGCGATCAGTGATCAAATGTGTCGCTTGATGATAGTCAATTATAAGAAGTTGTAATGAGAGGTGATTGGACACTAAATTGTATTTATGGATGTTATAGTGTTTTCTGTAATGTAGAGAAAATAATAATTACCAAACTGATAATGCTGAACATTGGACTCCGAATGAATATTAATTTTCATAGATAGACAGACGGACAGCTGACGTAGAAGTGATCCCTGTGTATCACTGTATCTTAAAAGGCCCAAAACCATTTTTTTTATTAAAGGGTCATAATTTATGCTTAAAGTCATGCAACTAGGAAAAAAACACATAAAATATGGTTGACGATTAATCCTGCAACATTACATACTAATTGCGTGGTACATGTGTTTGAATAATCCAGACAATCTTTGAAAATAAAAATCATTAAAGGGTCGTAACTCTGAAAACAAATCATTTAACTGGAAATTGACGACGCTATACTCAACTGGACTTAGTACATATCATTACTGTAACATTTGGATGAAATTGTAGTTTTTGAGCAGTCCGGACAAGTGATCCCTATCTGTCATTATTTCGAGCAGGCGACGCAAAGATAATTAAATTTACTTTTTTTGTTAATTTGGTAATCGTTAGAGAAGATGTGTTTATGCTAGGTACATAAAGGTCAGCGTGGGAAAAATCAAAGCATTCATTAAACGAGTCTTAAACAAAGGAATTCGCCTTCATTCGCGTAACCGAAAGAAATTCTCATCGGCATAAGTTATTTTAGTAACGTACTCATCCAGATTAGATTGCTTAAAAGTAGATTCCACCAAATTTCAAGCTATAAAGGACTTAAGACCATCGATATCCGAAATCCAAACCCCAGGTGATATAGCTAATTATCTATGTCGTAGTGTTTCAGAAATCTATCAGAGATAACCACCCCTGTGAGAGAACTACTGGTTAGAACCACAACGTGATTCCCGATTAGAATAAAGATAATCGTCGATCTTATCCACTTAACTACGTAGATCTGTAGTAACAAACAAATAAACATTATGTGTAACATGCTCTTACATATATATGTATAATAATTGCCTAGAGTTGACCTGTAATAACTTTATGAACCAAAAGTTTTAATTAGAAAAAAATATTTACAATTAATAAATAAGAGTTAATAAGAGTAAATAAGAGCACTGCAGGGGAACATTTGCGCGTGACTTATGTGCTTGTTTGTTTTCACATTCACGACACACTAGAAATGTGATGATGTGAACGGCAAACTAGTAGAAATAGTTGAATCCCAAAACTCTATCAAGCATGTGACATAACTGATCAGTGCATATGTGCAATAACAGAGCAAAACTTAAACACGTACATGAGGTGGACAATTATTTGACTTGATTTGCAATCTTACAATCGATTGATTATCATTGGCAAAGAATGCATTTTCATGAATTAAATTATAAAACTACAAAAAAAATTTAATTCAACTTAATATATACAACATATTTCAACCTCTATGTATATATATAAATCCAGCAAAAGAAATATAATACATGACACATGTAAATAATTCAACACATAACAAGGTAACGATATTTAAAAAACTTATTTAGAACACAGTTATCTAAATGAACTAATTAACAATATATCCAAGTTAATTTCGTTGAGTTAAAAACAAACATTGAGAATGGTATACATTTGTAGTTGAAAGACAATGAAGTCATGTAACACATGCTCTTAAAGGCTTTTTTAGGCTTTATTTCTTTTGTAACGAAACAGATTAGGTATGACAGGAAATTGACCAGTTTTATCACTTTAAAGAATCTTGTTATATATGCTACCGTATTTAAAATTCTTTATAATATTTTATATATCTACCAGGACTCTGACACTGATTATTTCATTTGTACATAGGTAAAGTGCTATGTTCGACTATCAAATTCTGTGTCAGTTCAATTATTATATTATTTAGGGAAATTTTGATGAAAATGGAATAGTCTTATAAATCTGTAACAGGGGTATATTTAAAGAGTTTTACTGGAACAAAAATAATCTTATCTGACAAGACATTAATAAGTCGGACAAAAATATTTGACACCGGAAAGGCAAATAACGATAAAAAATAAAACATAATACATTTTATGTACTTGCATTTATAAAATGTTTATGTCAGTCCGGTGATCTGCAGAAAATTTCAATGAAAAGGGGGTTATCCTTTTTGAGGTCATTTTGCCAAAAAAATTGGTTGGCTACCCCTATATTTCAGGATATTTTTTATGTGTCAGGCATTTCATTCTGCTAAAAATCACCTCTTTAAAATGAAAACTCAATTTTAAGGTAGGATGAGGAACCATTTGTTATAATGTAAGTCTATGGGAAAATCAATGTGAGTGTCTGACCTAAAATCTTTACATTGTCGCAATATAGACCCCCATGTATGCTTTAGGTAATACAAGTTATGGACTTGAATTTATGACTTGTTTTGTAATGAATCCTTAATAGGTAATTCATGTATAAAGTTAACACTTTCTTATCTCAAACCAGTAAATATTTTACATTTGCTAAACCTACCTACTCTTAACTTTCCTGTACTTATCAGGGAAAGTAACCATTGCTGATATACTACACTTCTCGCAGCGGTTTCTTTCCCCTGATCAACGAAGTACAAGAAAATGTACTGTAATGTACGCATGGTCCAAATTTATGAAAGATTGAAATATGACACGGCTGTTCACGACAGTAAGCCACATTGAATTTATTAGAGTACAATTCTGCCACCGCATCGTTCCTAGTTAAGCTGTCAAGCAGTTTACCAGTACTAGATGCCTACACTTTCGCAATGAACTGATTACTGACAGTAGAAAGTAAATGTATGTACACGTTTGTATGTTGTCAATGTTAAATGAGGGTCCATCCGCCATGTAGGGAACAAAAAGCAGCTTTCACTGTCAGGTACGGACCTAGGACAAGTCACCAATCACGCCCTTACAGAATTAATTTTGAAGCACAGTGCTGATAATTTATTTAAATATATGAATTTCGAGTCAAAAGTAGGTCACTGCACGGCGGTCAATGAGAACCTAAATGTACAGTAACCAGAGACAATATAAGAAAAGGAGCTAGCCCTTAAAAGGGCTGTTTTAAGGGTTATTGGTGCCAACAAATGACCTGTCTTACAAGCCGTCATTTGAACTAGGAACTCACAAACCCTAGTTCACCATCCTCGTCGACTCTGCTTACTTTGTAAGGCCACTCCCCTTACTCCGGCAGCTGGTCCGCAGTTCAAGGTATTTTTTTTGTGCCATGACTTGTGCTTTCTTAGCAACATGCATGCTCCAAAGGGAAATGAAAAGTGAATGGAGACCGCTACGGCACGCCGATTAGATTCTTATATTATAGGTGGTTAATATAACTTATGAATTTTGAACCAACCCATGGGCTAGTTATAAAATCTGTTTTTTTTTAAAATGAAAAGTTCCAATTATTAACACTTGAACTGTAAATTATATTTCAGCACATAATTTCATACAACAAATGTATTGATAGTTTACAGTTTTTGTTTCAAATGTCATGCTATAAATATGATAACCCCTATTACATGTGTATCTAAATGACAAGATAAAACAAATATAATTATACTCACAAACTTATAATAAGAGTGAGACATGAAAGTTGAATATTGAATTAGATATATATCTCCGAAAGCGCAGAAATATCATGCGTGTACTTTGGCTTCAAGAAAAATACAAAATCAAAAGTTTGTCATGGATTCGGCATTAAAAAAGGTTACAAAGACGTTTAAAGAAAACTAATAAAAAAACTACAAACACATGAATTAATCAATTAATTTAAATTGATCATGTTTGAAGTTTTACAGCAGAACAGAAATATATTTACTTGGTGTAACCTATAACAAGCTTATCAAAATATTACATATACATAAACAAAATATGATACATAAATGACACATGACATAAAAATAAAAAATAACTAGACAGTAGTTGTGTTTAATTTTATATTTTACTATGACAAAATAATCAATAATCAACATGACCAACTAGAAGTTCTATAAATATCAGAATGTATTGATTTTAAGTTGTTGTTTTTTTAAACAGAGATGGCTAGTCTTTTTTTTATATTGTATCAGTATCAGTTTTCATTATCAATTATTGGTCAACCATCATTATAATACTGAAAAATATTACTAAATCAATTCAAGTTGACAGCGAGGAAATGATAAATGAGCATAATGTCAAATTAATGATACACGAGTTTACATGACAAACATTTGAATACATAAATATAATTATATGACAAATATTTGAATATAATTATATGAATAATGATCGAAAATAGGCATATTTTTATCTATAATACTTAACAGTTTATCACTTTCCAAATTAACTGAAATTCAGCTGTAGTAAAATGAGTTTTTATTTCGATTATCATTTCGTCAGTTCCAAAATTTATAAATGAACATGTGACGGTCTTAATAGTGTTTAGTGCTCAACAGAAGTACGCAGTACATCATCTATATCTAGCACGCGAACTCGTTCAGGTTGATCTATTCTGATTCCAACAGTTCCATCACCGAATCGGTGCATTACCGGTGCTATAAGACAAATATATCCACCTGGTTTAACCTGGGAGTAGCTGAAATACGGAAATGGGTTGTCTCCAAAATCATCTAAATAAAACTCCACCTTACTTTCTTTGTCGTGTTCATCCTGAAAAAATATAGAAAAAGATGTATCTTATTTAGAAATCAGTTAAACCCTTCAAGGTGTGAAAATGTGCTTACATATTTGTTCATTTATTTCCTTAAATCAATTTTGAAATTTTAGATAAAGCTCAGTGGTAAATTGCTATTCTCTTTTGATAAACATGTAGCATAAGCTATAAGATATCCGTATTAACCATGATTTTATCATGTATCTATATACCTTTGATAAGGAGCTATTATATACCTTTAAGTATACGCCATGTCGCATCACGTGCGCGTGATATCTGTACATAAATGCTACAAGTACATATTTGTCATTCCATGAATCCAGAAGGGTAAAAAGAGAATGCAAATATTCATCGAGGATATCATCAAATGCTGTCACAACTTTAAAGTCAGGAAAGTAGGTTTTTGTCATTCGGATAGCTTTTTCTAGAGAACCCTCTGGAGGGTTTAATCTAAAAAGTGCTTGCTCTCTGGTTAATGTCTGATTAAATCGCTCTCTTGGACCTGTGTAAGTCTGAACTCCCATAACACAATAAAGCGGTTGTAAACTTTTTACGTATTCATCTTGAGCTATCGCTTCTGCAACCTGTTCTTCCTTCTCCTGCCAACATTTGAGAATCTGCTCGTCTTCTTCAGACAATGCCTGCATAGCAACAAATGAAAATTTGTTTAATTTGCTCTGTCGATTAAATCGTCAATAACTATATTTTAGAAACAGTTTAATTCTAATTCCTATATATGAGTATTTGCAAAAAAAACGTCTTGAGAAATGAACAAAATGAATAGACTTGTATTCAAATTACCAGAAATAAATAATAACAAACATCAAAGTGTTGATTTAGCTAATGGAAATACTAGATGAGAAAGGGAAGGATACACGATTTCTTACATATTTTAAAATAGAAGTATATACCTTTTTACATCTAGTTTTATGTTGGTTCCAGTCTTTCCTCTGACATTTGGTCGAACAGTAGAATGTTTCTTTGCATCTCGAACATTTTTTCGAACATCCAGACAATTTGCAAAATCCACATTCTTCTGTAGACGCGTTATTTGATTGAAGATCATAATTTGCCTTATTTTCTTTGAACACTTCTGAGCTATTTGTAGCTTTTGTATCTAGAAAAGTCCTCTGACTGTTAGGTTCATCTGATTTTCTTTCAAACTCTCGACAATCCTCCATGTAATCGTGTTTTACATCTGTGATACCGTCAATATGTTTTGTACTAACATCTTGTGTATTCAAGGAACTTTTTTCTTTAACAATATCTAACTGGTCTTCACTTGTTTCAGGCGACGGTCTAAGATGTCCTACATCTCTAAGATTATTAAATACAGACTGACCTGTTTTATCATTGTTCTTTGGTTTGGTACTGGTTCCATGGTCTTTCTGAAAAGTAACACCAAGTTCCTGTTTAATTCCCTCAGAAGCTACATTTGCTTTATTGTCGTTTCGCAGACACACTACCTTATGACTAGGCCAGTCTAAGGTTTGACATATCTTTGTACAGTAGCCCACCCTTAGACAACGACTACACCGGTTCTGGCATTTCCTATCACAATTCTTGCACTTT